TGTGTTCCGTTGCTTGCTGTTCTCAATCCCACTCCGTCCGAAGTATCAGAGGCTGCTTTTCTAGTGTTGGAGGATGGAGCACAAATGTCGCAGATTCTCGGTGCTTTGTGGCGCCTGGCTGTTCCTGAACATACAGTTAAACGTTTGCCAACTCAGCCGACACAGGTCAAGTGGCCTCGATAGCGCCAAACTTCTGGAAGTAGCCTCCGCTGAGCCAAAACAAATCGGGTGATATGCTCGCAGCTTTGGGTTCGGACGCCAGGGACGGGACTTTTACTTTTGCATCCCTCTGCTTCGAGCATCAGAGATCATCTTGTGACGATGGCAACATGCAAGTGGAGGAATCTGCAAGATCTTACTGCCTGTCAGCTTGTCGTAGTCGACCGTCGGCGGCAATCCACCCACCTGGCCACAATTGACTGCAACAGCCGAAACACCTTGGTGAGCTTCACAAGCGCCAGCATGCCACCCCAAACCACGCCTTCTAGCTCAGGATTTCATTGGAGGCTGCTGCGAAGGATTCTTGCTACGCTCCCATTTGAAGCAAGCGTGGAATCGCGCGGCCAAGGCCGTCGATGCCTCATGATGGCATGCATCCGACTATGTACCCCAGTAGAGTCCTCTAGAGCAACGCTAAAACCCCGAATATGCCAACTCCGAGCCTCTCATCAGACTTTATCCCTTACCCAGAGACTCCAATAATCGTTCAAGGTATATATTCCCTTAATTCGGGACAATGGAATCTCTGGGTACACTGGAAGAACAAATCTGCGATGCGAAGCGGAGGACTCCTGCTCAAACTGTAGAGCTCCAGTACCCTAAATAGTGTGTTACTGGCTTGGGTTTCTTTGTTCAAGGCTTAAGGTTTCGGGGTTTAGGGCTTTAGGGTTTTAGGGGTTTAGGGCTTGTATACTTGAAACACTAGTAGCCATTAAGATTTAGGCAACTGAGTCCTAGGAAACAATTTAGAGCTTTCGGCTTTGGTTGCGACACACTGGCAATATAGCCGGGCTGGCAAAGACTTTCACGACATTGTACTCCACACCTGGCTGCAGGATGTTCTACATCACATCCCAAACCCCAAGCGGGGCCCAAATGTGGAGAGTCCACACAGCCCTCGCACACGGGTTCTAGCGATGCGGAAGCTTCTGTTTCTATCCAACAACGGTGGACCAAATTCTACACAGTCAGTTCCCCTCTTCTCTGTATGCTACCCGCTACCCGGCTCCTAACGAAGGAATATTCCATACGAAACCCTAAATCCTAAACCCTTACAAAACCATTAACTAGCCGTTATTAACTTGAAACCCCTATATAAGCCCTTAAAGAAGCTCTACAAAGAGAGATGTGGGCAATTGGCGATCGCTCGCTGCCTTGACCTGCTCCCGGGTCACCGCCGCCACAGCCACCAAAGCCGCCGGACCTTTGCTGCGCTGCACTGCCCCCCTCTTTGCAACCTAAACCACTGAACCCTAAACCCTTGTGGGCCGTTGATGTAAGCCGGAAAACCCGTCGGATGACTGTTACTTGCAAGGGGAGGCCCCAACTCCGTAGCTTCAGCAACTGTCCATGCAAGAACTACAACTTAGTTGCTGAGTTCATAAGCCCCAAAAGTGTACACTTTCAGTTTCATAGTGGGTGATATTATGCCAAAACATGTAAAATGTTTCCACTCAGCTACCAAAACAACAAGACTTTCCCCGTCGAGCATGAACCCAACGGAACCACTTCGTCCCTGTCATTGACATGGGGAGTTTCCGAAAATTCGGGGTACCTTATTTTGGGGTGGGGTTTTGGTGTGTTCAACGGGTCAGAGTTGAGGGTTTGGGTTTCTGGGTTTCGGGATTCTGACTGGGGTTATAATTCAAGGGCAAGTTTCGGGATTAAGGTTTCCTGTTGGTTTGCGCTTAGAGTTTATGTAGGGTGTGCCGTCCGTTTACCGCTAGCTCGGCTCTGCTCGGTCTGTGGCTAGGTGACCCTCCAACTCACCTGCAGCTGTACTCGCAAACTCAGTTGCGAACCGTTGAATAAGCCAGGCCCCCATAAACATCCAAGCATCATTGCCTCGATGCGCGTTCGTTCCGTCCCTCTCGGAGCTTCTGGAGGCACCTTTGGGGGGTGAACGGATGAGCGAGTGAAACACTAGCCAAGTTTCACACAGGGCAACAATGTGCGCTGTGAATACTGTCGATCCCATCGTTGAAAAACACCTTGAGCCAAGTTGCTGATGCATAAATGCACATTATCGAAGAAAGTTACGCCTTTGCCATGGCGACATATGTTGATATAAGTGATACACGCAACACACAAGCTCACTCTGAACTTATATTGGTTGTGCAAACTTATGCAAGCACCCGTGGGAATGTTCGCGTTGACGACTGCGGTAATCGTCATCGCATCCACGGATTATGATAGTGTCACCATCTCTTTTCTTTTTTGGATTGCCATAATTCCTGCCAGAACATGGCATGAATGACATGATTGAGCTGGGGAAGGTCAAGGAACGATGTACGTGAATGCTTGGTGGGCCTACATACAGATACGGCCTCACACACAAACTTCCATCTCCAGATTCGAACCCTGACATTGATGTCTTTCGAGCCTGATAACACATGTTTGGCATCAAGCGCTTGAGTGGGTCCTAATATCGCTGCACAGCGTATCGTCAACAAGTCTCATTGATATTTTGTGTGTGTGTGTGTGTGCGTATAAATAAATATATATATATATATATATATATATATGCTACCCCCCCCGAAAGATCTATGTTTTTATTCTTTGTTGTGCTTCTACATCAAAGCAACTAGCCCGAAAGCCCTTTTGAAACTTGACCACCTTCACACCCAAAAAAAACCCTTTGCAAACCTAATCTAAAACACTTAGCCCGAAAGCCCCCCCCCCCCGAAACCTAATCTCAAACACTTAGCCCGAAAGACCCCTCGAAACCTAATCTAAAACACTTAGCCCGAGAGATCTAAAACACTTAGCCCGAGAGCCCCCTCGAAACCTAATCTCAAACACTTAGCCCGAAAGCCCCTCGAAACCTAATCTAAAACACTTAGCCCGAGAGCCCTCTCGAAACCTAATCTCAAACACTTAGCCCGAAAGCCCCTCGAAACCTAATCTAAAACACTTAGCCCGAAAGCCCAAACCCCTTAAAGGTAAACCTTGACAAGCATCCGTAGATCACCTGGGCTGTGGGCTTTTTTGTTCCGGTAAACTCAAAACAAAAGATGCTCATGATGCTATATGGGGGGTACCCCACTTACAACCTGAAGTCCTGCACTGGGAGCCCTTTTAGTGCGCTCGCGGACACCACACATCTTTCGATACCTTTCGGTTCGGCATCTGACTGTACACTTGGTCTAGCAGCTCCGTCATTCGCGGAGGAGTATCATTTGCCATGCATTCTGAGCATTCCCCTGCACATGTGCTTTCGCGCCATCCTTGCGACTCAAGGTGGCGCACATCTATCTCTACATTCGGGTTAATTCGGTGAAACACCTTTTCAAGCAGTGCTACTGTGGCAACAGAACGATGTCGCCCCCGCTTACACAAACACACTACTCGCACTGTCCTACAGGACCAAGCTAGCGTAGCAGCCCTTGCAAGTATGTGTCGGTAGCGCTCTGACCGGAGAAGGCCCATTTGGGTGTCTACATGGTATCCTATATGGGACCTCAATCTGAGGTCGTAGTGCGCATCCTTGAAATCGGCCAAGTTAACCATGACCGTGCAGACTTCAGGGTCACTATCGGGTACCTTGCTTCTCTCGCCCCCAGACAGCAGCTGAAGTTTTCGTACAGGAGGATAACTCGGCTCTACCGGTCTTGACGACGCAACATCTCGCTGAGGTGGAGGATAACTCGGCTCTACCGGTCTTGACGAAGCAACATCTCGCTGAGGTGGAAGCTGACGTCCAACTGGTCTAACTGCCACGGGTGATCTACTTCTCAAGCGCCCAACAGGTAGTGGTGCAGGTGCCGATGCTTTGCTACGAAGTTGTAGAGTGTCAATCACTGGGCCTCTAGTGATCCTTCCGAGGCAAAGGTAGCACACGTGGTACTGGGGGTCGTCGAGCAACTTGTGTCACATATCCGATTGGTACTGTAGCTACAGGACCAGCAGGCGCTTCACGTGCTTCTGCATTCTCTGAGTTCGGCGTCTTATATTTGCGAGAAAAGGCGCCTATAGGCATCATTGGCGTACCGGGTGTCGACATGGCTACAAAGGAGGCAGTCTTGTACCTTCTTGGAGTATAACAACATTCTGAATATCAGTCTCCAGTTTAGGGGTTTAAGGTTTAGGCAGTTCAAACCCCCCTGAACTCTATCTCCCAGTACAGGACTTGAGTCAACTATTGCATCTTCGTTCCGCGCTGAAGATCCGAGCAGTGACAGCGAACTCGGGGCCAGACCTCGCGAGACTGTTTATGTATTTTTATTTATCCATATATACAGTATATGCTAACAGATATATCATACATGTATATAAGCACATATGAAAACACATTTACATAGTGGGGCCTGGGGTTTTTGTTATGTGTTGGAGATATGCGAGGAAAGATTGAAAGATGACGACGACGATCATGATGGAAATGATGGCGACTACGATGGTGATGATGCTGCTGTTGTTGATGATAGGGTGAGGGTTGTGGTATATTGTGATGACGTGAACTGATGGAGTGTGTGCGTGCGAGTTCATGTCTGTGTTCGTTTGGCATTGCGACGTTCCATGTTCTTTTCGACAAAACACAAAACATTTAAGTGTTGCACTCGCAACATAAATGTTTTGTTCCTTTGCCGAGAGGACCATGGATTCATGATGGTTGTTGATGTATTGGAGGTGCAGCAGCAGCGTGTTGGCTGAATGTGTTTTGCCCTCACGAACTGCCTCGCCCGCCCAAGATACTTGATCCGGTCCCATCAGCTGGTCAAAATCTGGATCACGTGCCAGCGTTTCCGCTAACATGAAAACCCAAGAAACTCGGTCATGTATCATCACTTGGTCATGATCTTGGACATGTGCCAGCTGAGAAGATCTCCTGTGCGCTCCCACATGTCTCGGCCTCTGTTCCAATACTCGAACTGGGCTGAGCGGACTTTGGAAACAATTGCAGTCGACCCCACCTTACTGTTCTGAGTCAAGGTGAGTCGGCTCTTAGTGAATTTCCATGCTCGATCGACAACTTGCGTCCCGACCTTTACAGTCAGACGCTTGTTGTTGGGCAAGAGCACCTTCTTCAGCTTGACGTAGGTAGGCTGCTCCCACACCCACCTTCCACCGACCCGAACCCGGCGCTTCTTGTGGACCACGGAAGCATGCAAGACGCCCCGCGTCTTGGAGTTGTACGCACGAGCACTGTCGGTGTGAAGCAGGACCCTGCTTGTCCTTGAGCCATTTGTCGGCTATGGGCTTCCAATCACACTTCTTGATAGGCCCAGGTCCCGGTGACCGTGGCTTCGTGGGCCTCAGCTATCGGGAACCGCAAGATTACAACCAAACCGACATCAGCCCGGCATCACGTGACATATCACACACACACACACACACACAATTTATACAAGATGCTGCGGGGAGAGGCGGATCGACACCAGGGACTCCGGCTTGCCGCGCTGGACCATGCCGATTCACTCTTCCCACATCATCGTCTTCGAAGGCGACTCCGCTTCCTCCAAGGGGATCAGCTTTTTGTCGAAGACAGACTCGTCCACTTCTACATCCTGCCACGCGTTCTTCTTACCGCCGAATGCCATGCCCTTCTGGACACTTTCCACATAGCCCTTCCGAAGAAGGCATAGATTGTGATCCATACGTTCGATCGCCTTGTGGTTCACATCGGTGACGAGGTGTATGGAGCTCAGGGGGACGTGCGCCAGACGTAGAAGTAGTACTGCGGCTTGCGTGCCTAGCGAATGCCCTTCGGGACCACGGGTGGCAGTAAAGAGCGGATGAAGATGCTGTGGAGTAATGAACTTCTGGCACCCCCACCGTCGGCACCGATACCGGGGCATTCCACTAGAAGACCTGTCCTGCAATGGGCCGACCTTGCCTTTGGAACAGAAAGGGCAGATGGCACCCTCCCAAGTCGGCATCAGACCGTCGTTCTTCAGGACCTCGATGGCATCCTTCTCGGTCAGGGAGCAAAGGTACTGGACGGAGCGCTTCCACTTCAGCCGGTCCACCCGTGGTGCCTTCGTGCCACTTCGGATGTAAGGTGTGGACATCCACGCCTTGCTTTGGGTGACTTTGGCTTCTTGTGCATCTTCTGCTTCAAGATCATTCGAGTTTCGCCTTTCTTTGCGGGAGGAAACCATTGCGCGGGCTTCTTCTGGGGTTGTTTCACCATGCTTGTGGTGGATCCCACGATCTACACAGCAACTGCGAACCCCCTGCCTTCGTCTTCGACAGCCAAAAGCTGATGCAACGTTTAATTGCAGGTACATGAGCGTGCAGCACTAAAGCTCCTGGCTGCTGGAATCATCGCACAAACAAATCCAGATATTGGCGCATTTCCTGAAACATCGCACGAGTCTGGTGGAGTCTATCGCAAGCCTGGACACATGATTTTGTCTGGCATGGGCACTCACTACTGGTGAAGGAAGTTTGCGGCGTCCTCGTCAGCCTCCTCAGCATTCGTGTCCTCTTCGGCACCCGTGCCCTCTTCGACAACGTCCATCTCGTCACGGTCTGTCTCGGCGTCTTCATGCTGGTGCTGCTGCTGCTCTGCGCCCTGAGAATTTGCCGGCGCTGCTTCATCGACTTCTGCGGGGCAAGTCTTCGCACGGCACCTCTTCGCGGGAGAGGGGTAGACGAAGCGTGAAGCATTCGTCAACCTCTTGCGGGGTGCTGATGGGTCTGCGAGACGAACTGGAACTGGAGCGAGCGGCTGTAAGTTGGGGGATTCCTGAGATGATTCAGATGCTTCAATCGCCCGTCTCGGCGTCTGTCGGCGGAAGAGCTCGTCTTGAATCTTCTCATTCCAGTGTTTGATGAAGGCATCAACCTTTGCAAACCCGTTGAGTTCTGCCACAGGCCACAGCATTGTCCATGAGCTCGAGTTCCCTAGCCACCTCGCCATCATAGTCCGGGCTTCGTTCAATCCTGCCTTGCTTGTATTTGTTGTAGTATGGCTTGTCCTTCTCGCTAAGTAGGTCGAGATGAATGTCCTCGACTGTAATTCTGTGTATTGGCGTCTCCGGGTTCTCTGACGGCAACCGTAGATACAAGGCATTCTTCCCGAAGACGAAGACGATGCTGCGCTTGAGAACCGCAAGAATATCACCCTCTCCATCGTCCTTGAAGATCTTTGTCATCATCTTCTTGAACTCGGCCATCGTAATATTGGTGCGTCCCGCCTCGGCTTGCGGCTCGTCGTCTGGCTCGAAGTCGTTTGAAGCGTAGACTCTCATCCCATTGCGTGTCAGCCGGACGTCAGAGTATCTGCCGCTGCAGGTCTGTTCCTCATCGGCCGTGCTGAAGCTTTTGAGATCCGAGGCGCTCACGCGATCCCTTTGGGGATCGTCGAGGAAAATCGCTTCTTGGACCCGCGGCACTCGCTGCCTGAAATTGTCCAAGGCCTTCGCTCTTCTCCAACCCGCAGGGGCTGTCAACCCTTGCTCTCGGACGTGGTAGCGGCCGTAGGCGAGGGCCATCGTGATGACGAACGGAGTCTTTCCAACTCCAGGCATGCCAAGAAGAAGCAAGCCGTGCGTCATGAGCAGCGGGAGGATGAACTTGACCAAGAAGTCGAAGACGAAATTCTTTAGGGAGAATAATGTCAACGGGAATTCTGTTTGAGGCTTCGCCCCGGACAGTCCCTTGCTCTTGTTTAGGCACATATTGCGTACCTTCGTCTCCGGCCATCCAGCGATTGGTGAGCCTGAATCCTCGCGAATCTCGCAGAGAATCCAAAATGTCTGCTCGTTTTGCGCATCCTCCTCCGGGGCGTGGGCGTTGATGTAGTCTATCCCAGCCTTCAGGGTCTCAACATCCGGAGTCCATTGTGACGAGGAGATTCTCTGAATGGACTGTTGCTTCTGCACCACGTGGTTCCACAGGAGACGATATCCCGGTAGGCGCTCCAGCATGTGCTGAATGGCCTTGCGAAGAGCCCAGGGACCTTGGCGGAAGACAGGAATGTAAGCTTTGCCGGTGCAGAGTTCAAGTCCACTGCTTACGGCAAACTTGTCGGCAAAGTGAAGAATCTTGAGCACATTCATGGTGCCGTCTTCCAAGTTAAGTTGTGTACGATAATGCCCAGTTTGGCACGCGGGGGAAGGTTGCCGTTGAGGGCTAGAGGCGCAGGAAGGTTTTGTATCTCCCCTTGCTGGATCAACTCGCCCAAGCGAGCAAAACCGCCGAACTCGGGGACCTTCGGGTGGAAGTCAAACATGAGTGTAGCGGTTCGAATTCCATCACATATGCGGCAGGCGCTGGACAAAAAGTCCTCCACGGTGATGGGATTCTCCATCTCCGCGGAAGGCACGTGTCCCATCTGTGGAACCGCCAAAGCCTCGAATGACCACTCCTTCCCGCCCACGAGTTCCATGGTGGATTCCAACAGGTTAGCCATGAGTTCACGAGATGATGCGACAAAGAGAGTTGAGACTACGGACGAGAACGACAAGTGTCTCGAGAGAAGCACATTGCAGAATAATATGAGTTGGTTCTGGTTGTGATAAGTCCTGAATAGTTAGCATGCGTGGTGCATGTGAAGCAAGCAACTGCGGAAACGTTCTCTCCCGAAGCGCACACTCTCTACGTGTATGCAAGACGGCTTTTTTCGACCTTGCAAGCGTACGTCCCACCACCTGTGCAGAACTGCATGTTTTAGCCTCCAGCCAAACACAAAGTGTACAAGACACACCGTCACGGAGCAACCGTGTCTTTCACGAGCGATCCCACTCAATCTTGGCATCTCTGAGAGCCGTCAACACTTTGTACGCAAGACGGCGCCTCTTCGCATTGTGAAAGCCTTCATCGAGTACAAGTTTCATGCTCTCCCACGCATCGTGCCAACCTGTTGTCCACGTTGATGTGTCCTGCTGCCTGATAATCTGCTTCTTCCGCTCAATGGAAGCCTCACTGGAGCTTGAAGTTGACGAGCTGTCATCGGAACCGGACTCGTCACTGCCGTGGTCCTCGTCTTGGTTGTGCTCCACCGCCTTGTCATCGTCGTTGTGGTTGTGCTCGGTCGTGTTACCGGGATCCATGACCTGACTCTCCTCGTCACCCGCCCCCTTCGCGTCCTCAATGGCGAGCGGGGCATCCAAGATAGCCTGGGGGATTGCCTTGGCGATGCGCTTGCGTTTGGCGAGCTGCTTGAGGAAGATATCGTTGGCCTCGGAAGACCAATCGCCGTTCTTCCCGATCGTGATCTTTAGGGCCCTTTGCACGTTGTTGAGCATCGTGCCCAAGTCCTTGGAGGACATTGGCAGCCGCGACGGATGAACCTCCACCTCATTCTTCTCGATTGCGCTCATCATGGCCGTGTCGTTGCGAACGACTCCCCATGGTGGAGCCGCGGTGGCTGCATTCGCAGTCGTTGAAGCCGATGAGGTCGGCGCCGAAGATGAGGGTGCACCAGGAGTCAAGCGTAGAAAGGCCTCGCCATCGCGAAACATGACCATGCCGGACACTGCGCTGCTCCAGTCGCTCATGGCGATCACAGACCAGGCTAGGTAAGGCTTGGGGACGTAGGCTTAAGTATCAGGCGCTGCGGAGACGCTCACAGTGCAAGCATACACGCGGGCATGCAGCAAACAATCAAGCGCTGCGCATCGGCTCACGGTGCAATCATACACACGGGCATGCAGCAAACGATACAGGATTGAAAGTGGATTGAAGGATTGAATTTCAATCCGAGCCCGGATCCAAGATCCAAGATTCTCCCAGGAGTCTTGGGACGGAATCTTGGATCCGGATTGAAATGGATTGAAGGATTGAGTTTCAATCCGAGCCCGGATCCAAGATCCAAGATCCAAGATTCTGCCCCAAGAGTCTGGGAGAATCTTGGATCTTGGATCTTGGATCCGGGCTCGGATTGAAACTCAATCCTTCAATCCAGATTCAATCCTGGGACTATTGAAATATTGGGCCGCATTGGCTTTCAATACGGTTGGTTTATTGGGTTTCAATGTGGTTGGTTTGTGCACGATGAGGAGATCGCGAGTGGCAGAAAGCGGTAGAATGGTCGCGAGGAGATGTTTGTAAGTGGAAAGAGCTAAAAAGAGAGTAAAAACATAGATCTTTGGGGGGGTACCATATATATATATATATATATATATATATATATATATATACGATCCCGGGTGTGGTGGTGGGTTGCTTCCGGTCCGGGGCTGAGCTGGTTGGGGTGGTTCCCCCCTTCCCCCGTTGTGGGCTGGCACGCCCCTGCGTTGTTTAGGTCTGCTTTGGGTGTTCGTTCTTCTTATCCCTGTGATGATAATGATGATGGTACCGATGATCACCATCATCATTAACTCAAGCATCTTAATGTTTGATTGGTTGGTCGTCGGGGCGCGACCCAAAGACGCCCGATCCGTGTGAGGCCGCCAAGGCCGCCAACTGTCACGAGGATCGCGTCCTGAACACGCCCGATCCTCGTGACTGTGGGCACTTCCCGAAGAATAAGCAAGGAAACTGTCACGAGGACTGCGTACCCTGGCAGGCCCGATCTCTGTGACAGTTGGCCGATTGTAACCTTTTGGCAATTGCCCCCAAAGCGACAACTGTCACGAACTGTCACGAAGATAGTGGCCCTGCGATCAAGAAAGCGGCAATCATTACCAGGTAGAGGTCATATACATATATATATATATACATATATATATATATATAGCTCCCGTTGCTGAGCACTCTCAAACAGGCGACTGCAGCGTGTATGTACTGTATGTGCAGCCCAGATTGGTGCTGTCGTGGCCTTGTTTGCGTGAAATTGCTGGAGGCTGTAAAGCCGCCGATTGTCCTGACAGAGATTGGCTACAGATTCCCTACCTTCCGCCCCCTGCCCTCTGCATAGATCCGACACAAACGGCAAATGATTGAACTTGGACTGTTAGTCATTGTTATTATTGTCTGTGTCTTCCAGCACAACTGGCTTTACTCATTCTCATATTGCAATGGCCGATGGTCCTTTGCATTTGGGGAGCTTGGCCGCCGCCTGCCAAATTACGGTTTTGTCGGGCGGGCACAGGCACAGCTCTTCTTTGGATCGACAGGTTTGAACTCCATGTCTGGGCTATAGGATGTCGCAGATTCGATTATTGTCGGATTATATAACATGAGCCATGAGAAACACAGATTCGGGATGACCCGATTCGCCCAAGTTATGTGAACAACAAGGACACGTGGGAATACATGTTACCGTTACGTGCTACCTGCACCCGCGTGGAAGCCGTCGCACGAGCCAGCTGAGGCAGCACACGCGCCTTCGTGGATGGGTCTTTGCATTTGCAAGGTTTGGCCGTCGCCTGCCAAATCATCGACCGTGTCGGGCGGGCACAAATGCCGCAAATGTGTGACAATGCCGCGTATCGCAGGCACATTCCGGCAACATCCACGGAGCCTTCGCACTAGTAGGTTTGGCCTTTTTCCCCTTGTTGTCCTCCCAATCAAGGCACGCAAATCAACCGCATATTCGATACCTGGGCAAAGCTGGTGCTGCAGGCCTTCGATTCAGTGGCGCGCAGAGTCCCGATTTGCTGTTGATTCATGATATGACTACAATGTGAATGACTCTGCGTATCTGAGCTGTGCTGCCGAAAGCCGCAACATGTCACAACACTTGTCGATAATCAGGCGGCAACACTTGGTCTTATCTTTCTGTTCCACAAGCGCAGTGGTGCAAAGGGTCTGTGTTTATGCAACTGATGCTGCTGCCGTCCAAATCGCAGCGCTTGCATCCCGTTATCCATCCTCCGCCTGCCAAAGGGTGGTGGGTATATCAATTGTAGAACTGACGGGCGGTGTCTGACCATCAGCACATTCTGGACATGTTCAACACATGCGCGATCTTCGCCTTGACGGGGATGCAACTCTTCTTTCACTCGGATGTTGAGAAGATGATGTTGAGCCTGGTCATGATAATGATGGTGATGCTGAATGATGATGGTGTGATGCCGAAATGTCTGCTCGTGAGGAAAATGATGATCATCATCATCATGGTGTTGATGACATCGCTGATGAGGATAATAGCGATGGTCTTGATGATCATGATGATCGTCATGCTGAAGATGTGGACGATCATGATGATGATTATGACAGTGTTTGTATTGAAGCATACACTGATGGTGGTGATGATGATGATTGCGTTGATGATGCTTATGATGATGATACGAACGACGCAGACGATGTCGAGGATGTTGAAGAAGAAGAATTAAATGGTCATGATGATCTTGATGATCATGATGAGTACGCTGTTGAAGATATAGCTGATGGTATGATGATTATGGTGGCGAGTTTGATGTCTGTGAGAGTGTTGGTGGTGACCATGCTGCTGGTGATGCCCCCCATGTTGCTGGTGTTGTTGTTGTTGTTCCAGTTAAAGTTTCTGTTGCTGCTTTTGTTGCTGTTCATGCCGATGTCGCTTTGTGATGATAACGATGGCAGGGCCAGCACTGTTATGATGTTGAAATCTGAACCCTCGAACCATTGCAACCCTGCACCTTTGAGACGAACCCTTGAACCTTTGATTGCACCCCTGCTCTCCCTGAGCTCTCTCTGCCCAGCCACTCTCTCCCTGAAGGAAAGGGAAGCCCGCTGCTCTTTGAGCTGCTCCACTCGCGGTGTAATCCTCGGCCGGTACCTTCTCACCGTCGCGAGGAGGAACAGCTTTCCACCAAGAGGGGCTACTTGGAGTGACTCCTGGCAGCAGCCTCGCTTGGGGATATCGGCTGGAGCCTTTGAGCCTTTCGGAGTTTCGCCGTCTAAAGCCTTGGCGTCATAACGAATGGTCCAACAGCCAACAGCATATTAACTACGACACTGGATTCATCCCGGGAATGGGCCGCATGGAGCGACACAGGCACCGGGGTAACGTCAGGTTGTCTGCTGATGCACGATCCCCAATAATTTCCACCACGCGGGGCCACTAGGAGTGACTCCTGACAGCAACCCCGCTTGCGAAAAAAAACTACTTAAGTGGGACTACCTATAGCTAGGGCACCCCAACCCAACTAATTATAGTGTGCTATATTATGCCAAACCCTGCACTGCAAATCCCCATATGATCATGGGGTGGGGCCAAGGCCATAAGCTGTTACATTATGCTAAGCCTTTCAAATCCAGAAAAGAAAACAGCCCCCCCATAACACAAGTCAACGGCGCATTGCATCCAGGCAGCGACTCAGACTGACCCTTACTGTTCCCAAACACATGCACTGCGCAGGGTAATCACTGCCAGGAGTATGTTTGGGTTTTCACGCCGGGGCATGTTTGGGGCTTCGGGAAGGGGCTTTATAGGGTCGTGGGATTCAGGGGTACATACGGCTGAAGGGTTGTGGCTTGGGCCTTTTAATCAGGATCCTACTATGTAGGGTACCATATTAGGGTCCCCTAGTTTCGGAAACTCCCACATGCACAGAAAACATGCTAACTCAGCGAGACCCCGGCATGCCCTTGCCGCCCCCGGCACCCTCTCGCATCGCCTGAGGAAGCTTTGCTTTGCAAGTCATATAGGGGCCTAGATTAAGTAATTACCAATAATATTTGGGGGGCTCCTTATCATAATTATCGTATAATGGGCCCCAAAACCCTAGTCTAACTACTTAGGCCTCTAGATGACTCGACCAGCTCTGGCTTCAGGTTGTGACCTACAGAGGGCTTACGGCTTGGGGTACACCGGCCTGTGCCAGAAAGGCGGAGCAGTCATGCCAGATGGCAACACGCCGGTCTTCTCCAGAAAGTTACAGTTCTCAAAGTTACTGTAACTCAGTGCAGCAGATCATACGAACGGTATCATGATGTGATACAAATGGTACATAGCATCATATAGGGATATGTGATAGCAAGCCTCTCTCTTCCTGCAGGGCTCAGTCGTGCGGAAGGCAGCTTTGCTTGATTCTTCGGACTTACGGATTTTGTCCCGAAGCGCCTTCAACAACAGTAGCAATCAGAAGGATAACAAGACTTGTAGATATAAACAAAGAACAGGAAGAATACTAGTCGAGTACTGAAAAAACAATGACAGTAGTGGCCATGGTGAGGCATGCACGCCGTGAGCTTCGATTGTAGAATCGATGCCAGAGCTAGCGGGCACTCGTTTGCTCTCGCGATCTGGACTTCCCAGGTTGGGGGTTTTACAGGGTTTAGTGGGTTTGGGTTCTGGGACGCCCACCTTCTTCACGGAGACCGTCCTTCCGTCAAGCTGGTGCGTGGGCCTCGATCTGAGAAGCAAGGAATACGCAAAAACCGACAGCTCGGCAGAGACAGGGAGATACGAAACGTACAGCCGCGCAGGCACTGTTGGAGTCAGGAGACAAAAGAGGGGCCGAAAGAACCGCTGCACAGGTAGGCAGGGGTGGGTAGAGAATCGGCTCGGACTCACAGAGACACACACACACACATGCACACAGAGCTGTGCACACAAACCAAGAGCCAGCGGGCTGTTTCAAAAAGCAGGCATCGTAGAGTTGAAAATCTTGAACCATAAATTTCTAGA